AATATTCTAAATTCGAATATATATTTGAATATTTAAAAAAAAACGAGATTAGATTGTGAAAATTAATATTCGATTGTGGAAAAAAACACATCAGCGTCACTCACTGCTGAAAATGAGACGCAACCAGGGTTGCCAGGCGGGTGGATACAAATTTGGGCTGGTTTCGGATCGGTTCGGCGGGCACTTCAGATCCTTCTTCCTGTGACCCTCTGTTCAGCGGGCAGCAGTCTCACTCACTCATTCACTCACATACACACACTACAGCTCTGGCTGACGTGCCCCCTAAACTCGCAACATACACTCCCATTACCTTCAGCTCACGTCACCCACAGATACCCGTTATTACCGACCGTTATTAACAAATTGTTTATTTAAATCAGTACGCGCATAGAGAGAGAGAGGGGGGCAAGTGAGAGAGCGGTCTTTTTTTACGGTCTAAGTTTTACGGTTAGTTCATTTACATTTTTTGTAATGTGTAGGTATGTTTTATGTTAAAACTGAAATAACATGTTACTGTTATTGACATAATGCGCATTGCGCATGTGCATATATTCGAATGGTTCGAACCTATGTGTTTTTTTAGAGCGAATATTCGAACGTCATTTTGGAGCAATTTTGACAGCCCTATGCCATATTCATGGATCCTGAAGTAAGTATAGTCTACAGCTAACTCAAAGAAGCTAACGAAATAACGAAAGGGCAAGGATACATTGATATTGGTGAGGCGGTTCAACAGTGGAGAAACCACGGAGTGCTGACAGGGATGAAAAGTGATAAAGAGGCTTACATTAATTTTCCTATGCTAAAATGTGGTCAGTATTGTTATATGTAAGTATGTTATTCCATTTGCAAATGTTTACTAAAATTACACATTTTTTAAAGCTTAGATTTTTCACTGGCCAAAATATTTTTCCAACTGGCCATAGAACTATAATGCAATGAGAAGCATTTTGAAAGGGAGTTTCAAATACAGTATGATAATGAACATTTCAAATGCTGTTGTACAGAGCATCAATATCTATTTTTAAAATGTTTGATATATCTCATACATACTTTGCAAACAAGTGTGTTCTCAAATCCGTATAGACAACATGCTCAAAAATACTCTTATGGTTGTATAGCTCCATGAAATGAGGTCTCCAGTTTCTGAGGCAGTCACAGGGTCACAGTTCAATTGCAGGATGACTTAGACAAGGTGCTGCCGTCATTGGCAAACATACTTGAAAAGGAGAGATGTAAAATAGAGAGCTTTCAGCTCAGACACTAAGAGCACCATCACCTTCATCAAAGAGGGAGCTAGGTCCTTCACAGCCAAATCTAAACCCAATTTGCTCCAGGCTCCCAGTTCCTCTTAGATTAGAATTTTCGTGACAAGGAGGCTGCAGATGTGATGCAAGCAACCTTTCATCTAGACATTATGTTGTGGTACATTAAAAAACATAAAATAATGGTCAAACCTACTGTGCTGTGGGAGGAGGGTGGTGGAAAAAGCCCATGAGAGAAAGGCCATTGAGTACCAGTTTCTGGTTGAAGAGTGTAGAGCCAAGGGTTGGCAAACCTGATTGTTCCCTGTTGAGATCACCTGCAGAGGTTTCCCAGTGTACCAGTGATTCAAAGTTGGGTGGTATATACTGTACGTCTCACTAGAAAATACAGGGCTATTTAAGGGACCTAAATCACACACCTCTGCAATATTTGGGATGCAGGTAGTGGTGGAAAATAAAAATTATTAAAAATAATATTCAGTGTATCTAACATTTGTTCTTATTCTTGCAGGCAAAGTAACAAAGCACATTACATGAGCCAGTATTACTACTGTTCTGAGAGCAGACGTTCCACTGCAGCACTATGAGCTCATTCAGTTTATCATCAGCAATACAGATATACAGCTACATAATTAAAACTGAGTTGCTTTAATCAAAGTCTGATTACATTATATTTACATTAACATATACATAAATCCAATGATTATTGGATCAGAATGAATGTCTCAAAAAGATACAAAAACAATCAGAGTGCAAATCACAGTAGCCCTTCAAAGAGCTATCAGTATTAAAGGAGAAGTTCGTTTTTTTTCAACCTGGTTCTTATTTCCAGCATATGGTATGTAGATCTACTCAACCATAAAGGTTTGGAGTAACTTGGAGTCCTTCGGAACCTTTTAGATCCACATGCGATAGGCGTATATCCATACAACCCAAGTGACTGGGGCATCCACAATACAGCCTCTAAATAACTCATTATCTGCCGCGATACTCTTTATTTACTATGAATCGCCAGCACTAGTCCCCTGTGAGTCCAAGTTGCTTTGTTTACATCCTGGGCTTTCACTGGGGGGGACGTCACCGAGGCGCGCAGCCGCAGATCAGATGACGATCAGCTGTGTTTGTTTACACAGAGTTTGCTGCTGCTAGTTTTGCGCAACATGGCAGAATACTTATCAGGTGCTTTACAGTACAGTATTCTTTTAAAGCAGCTGTGTCCTGGTGCCCTAGCGTATTCACCCGGTTAAAGGCTAGCTCACTTCAGCGGGCTAACGAGCAGCCTTGGAGCTAGCGTTAACTCGCTCTCGGTTCGCTAAGCTAACGCTAGGTCCGAGGCTGGCGAGACTCACAGGGGACTAGTGCTGGCGATTCATAGTAAATAAAGAGTTAATAAATAACGCAGATAATGCGTTATTTAGAGGCTGTATTGTGTATGCCCCGAACTCTTGCGTTGTATGGATATACACCTATCGCGTGTGGATCTAAAAGCGTCCGAAGGACTCCAAGTTACTCCAAACCTTTATGGGTGAGTAGATCTACATACCATATGCTGGAAATAAGGACCAGGTTGAAAAAAAACAAACTTCTCCTTTAAGTGCAAGAGGGTCTCATTTTTACATTTGAGGTCCGTTACAAAACCCTCTGATCTGGCTCTCTGAGCCTGCACTGAAAAAGTAAACATCAATTATTATTGTCAAAACACAAATTATGTACATTAATTGCAAAAACTAGAAACTTACAGTATACTCATTACAAAGGCAATCATGTATTTTTTTTTTTTTTTAGATCTGTTTCAAACAGGCAATAATATACCCTTTTGAATCTCCTTCTACAACATTATACCTGTGAGATGACTGTCATACATTCAGCTTGCAACAGCTGTATTCTGCTGGCTGGGACACTTAAAAGTGGAGAAGCAATCTCCCCTCTGATATTATAGCTACCTGTAATCATCATTTGGTTTGCTAGACTTGCCAATCGAAAAGACAATAAGGTACAGCAGTTGCTAGCAAGGAAATTCTTGGGTTGCTCTAACCATGCTCAAAATATTTAGAAAGAAAACCACACAAGCAAAATAATAGAATATAAAAATATATATATATACAAAAATAAAACTGAAACAATAAAATACTGTTACTGGTAGTGCACATGTTACCATGTGCAATATTATGGGGGTTTAGTAGAGTTTAACAGTCTTATGGCCTGGGGGATGAAGCTGTCTCGTGGTGCAGGCATGGATGCTGCGGTACTGTCGGCCAGATGGCAGCAGGGAGAACATGTTAAGGCTGGGGTGGTCTTTGTGATGGATTTTGTGTGGTGAGTCCAGGTCAGGTCCCATGTCAACCCTGTACCTGAAACTGCTGACTCTGTAGTCCCATTAATGGAGAGGTTGTGTGTTCTTTTCTGTCTCTTCCTGTAGTCTACAATCAGCTCCTTTTTTTCGCTGACGTTGAAATGGGGATGGTTATCCTGGCACCAACATGTCAGGGCTCTGACCTCTTCTCTGTAGGCCATCTTCCCCTCACCTGGGTGGCTTTGGCTGAAAGGTAGAGCATGCCGAAGTGTCCTTGGGAATGGTCCCTCATAGAAAAAAAGTGCTGCCCATAGATGCACTATGAATGCATGTGTAAATGGTAAAACTGTACTGTGAAGCACTTTGAGTTGTCATCAAGACTAGAAAAGCGCTATTTAAATTCAGACCATTTACCTCCACAGGCCTACCAAGCAAAAACACTCATGGAAGGTTAGGTACCACCTGATGACAGGAGCTAAATCCTACACACTGTTTTATAAATTACGTCCCAGTTGAGCAATTCCTGTAAAACCAATATATGAAACTTGCACCCACAAACACACCCCTTTGCACTGTTAAATGCTTGTTACGTGATGGTAAGCAAGCAGCCTAATATATGGCTGATTGTTATTTCAGAAAGGAGCTGCTGCAGTGTGGAGTTCTTTACCCAGAAAAGGACCTTTATCTGGGGAAGCTTGCTCTCACCAAATTCCCCAAGAGCCCAGAGACGTGGATACACCGGTAAGACATACTGTAGTTGCTGAGACCCTCTTCCTTTTGTGGCTTTAAATGCATTTATTAGTTTTATTTTTTTTAGTTTGGGCTGGGTTTGTAGTTGTGCAAGTGCATAATGATCTTTGCTGTGTTGGTGTGACTTTGGTTATTATTAATATTATTATTATCACTATATTTATTTATATTTAATTTTCATGGTGCAACCACATTGAACTTACAAAAGCATCATCCTTGTATTGAATTCCAAAGCAAAATAGAAAAAGCATAAGCAACTACATATTGATATTTAAATAAAAGCAAAAGAGGTATAACATAAAGCTCTTCAATAAAATAGAGTAAACAAGTGGATGTAATGTAAGTAAAGTGACTGAAGTGACATAACAACGATCAGTGGAAACCAAAATCATCAACCCATTGAGGATTGGATTCAAAACCAAACTTAATCAATCGAAAACCAAACTAAAACATTTTAATCATAGGCTTGCGTGAATTTCATTACTGCAAATTATAATGTGACTCAGTATTGTGTATGGCCCCCGCGTGCCTGTATGCATTCCCGACAACTTTTTTGACATGCTGATGAGTCGGCAGATGGTGTCCTGGTGTTCTCCTCCAAAACCCTAGATCAGGGCATCGGTGAGTCTGTGGTAATACTTGGCAGCATTTGATACACCGATACATAATGTACCATAGTTGCTCAACTCGATTTAGGTCAGGGAAACGTGAGGCCCAGTCAATTGTATCAATGCCTTTATCATTCAGGTACTGCCTACATACTCTAGCCACATGAGGCCGGGCTATAACATGGAGGTCTATGCAACCCTCCAAGGATATGCCTTTCCAGACCATCACTGACCCACCGCAAAAGCGGTCATGATGAATGATGTTACAGTAGGGCTGTAAAAAATCTAAGTTCGGTGCGTACGTCGGTTTTGAAGTCACGCATTGTATGTTTTTGGTATGGTACAGTAGAAAAAAGGAACAGAAACATTATACTGATTTTTTATTTATTTTTGTTCAAGCCTGGTTAACTATGGCAGTGTCTTGCTCACCTAAATGATTTTTACAAAACTGAAATAACAAAATAAACACTGTCATAACTAAATAAATGTGCATTATGTAGAAAATTTACTACTTACACTGCACCGTTATTGTATTGCATGATTATCATTATTAAATATATGTATTTTCTTTTTCTTCAAAATAATTAATTACCACCAAATTTTTTGCAGAGGGTGGCCCTGCTGGCACTAACAATGTCTCCGCTGAGGACTTTCACACTAGGGACAGAGGTTTATAAAGGGCTGGTATTATGTGAGTTGCTGGCTGAAATACAGATGAGGAAGAACTTCGTAACGTGGCTCTAATAGTTACAGTGTATGTTTGTGCACACATTTTTGTCTCTTTGTGTTTTACACCTGATTTTGCTGCAATACCTGGGGTTCTTTCACCAGAGAAAAGCTCATGAACATGAAGGGAACAGCTCCAGTGGATATATATCCATCTTTCTTGTGTTTATCTGTGTAATTATTTAACATTCTGGTCAAAGGTGCCCTCACCTTTGCCAACATAGTCAAAATACAGGAGGAGGGGGAGACATGCTGGAGCACACCATACACCTCTCCTGGGAATATTTCTTTCCAATGTAAACAAACTGGACGAACCTCAGCCCCTGGTGACTGTGGCAGAGACTTTTCTTCATCTTCCGTCTTGTGTTTCAAGGAGACGTGGCTGTGTGGATAAATACCGGACTCTTTGCTGCAGCTGGAAGGCTTTCACAGTGGACCGCGGCACACTACCCTCTGATAAAACGAAAGGTGGGGGAATCTGTTTCTATACAAACAGCAGCTGGTGCCACAATGGGACAGTGATCCAGCAGCACTGTTTTCCTGTTCTGGAAACTTTCTTCATAAACTGCAAACCCTTCTACTCACCATGTGAGGTTGGCTCATTCATTCCGGTCAGTGTTGACATTCCACTGCAGGCACACATGCAGGATGCACAGCGCACACGCCGATCAGATACTGTGTGTGGAGCGGACCTACCCGGACTCCTTAGTTAATGTCCTCTGTGATTTTAACATATAAAATCTCAGCCACAAACTCCCGAAATACAGACAGTTTATTAAATGTCCGACCACAGAAGAGAACACTTTGGATCACTGCTACACGACAGTCAGTGAGGCCTACCACGCCGTCCCTCTGCGCTGCACTGGGACACTCTGATCACATCATGGTCCACCTGATTCCCGCATACAGGCAGAAATTAAAGGTCTTAAAACCTGTTGTGGGAACATGTGAGAAGTGGACCAGGGAGGCTGTGGAGGACCTTCAAGCATTTTTGGACTGCACAGACTAGGATGTCTTCGGGTCTGGATGAAGACAAAGAGGCTGGGGAAGGAGAAGTCTTCTAGGGTGGGTACAGGGACCTGTTTACAGAGTCCAAGTACAAGTTTAGCAGGGCGGTGAGAGATGCTAACAGACAGTACTCAGAGAAACTCCAACACCAGTTCTCTACTTTTGTCTGGAAGGGTCTCAGACAGATTACCAACTACAACAACAACGACCTGCACCTGGCCAACCAGCTGAATAAAATGCCCAGCAGAGGATGTACTTACTACGGTAGCTGAAGAAGTTCAACCTGCCAAAGCCGTTGATGGTGAACTTCTACACTGCCTTCATTGATTCCATCCTCACCTCATCCATCACCATATGGTACACTCTTGCTACTGCCAAAAAGGACCGGGGCAGACTGCAGCGCATCATTTGCTCTGCGGAGAAGGTGATCAGCTACAACCTGCCCTTTCTCCAGTACCTGTAGGTCTCCAGGACTCTGAGATCTGCAGGTAAGATTGTGGCTGACCCGTTCCACCCTTGACTTGTACTCTTTACGCCACTTCCCTCTGGAAGGAGGCTGCGGGCCATCAGGACCAAAACCTCACGCAACAAAAATCACTTCTTCCCGACTGCTGCCGGCCTCATCAATAAGGTCCGGGACCCTTTACCAAACTGCACTGATGTCCCCATCTGTGACTCTGACACTTTGCAAATAACAATAACTGTATATTTTGCAAAATCCCTCCTGCTTATAGTATTTTAGTATTTTTTATTTGCCTATAATATTTTCTATTTCATTTTGCTATTTTATTGTTGTTTCCTATTTTTTTAGATTTATATATAGGACTTAAGTTATGAGGGAGGGTCTAAACACACTGTCTGCGGTTGCTATGACCAAGAGCCAGCACAGCACATCCGGTCCTTAGCTAAAGTTGTCCCTCAGAAAGGTTGACCGGAAAGGTTTGGATACGTGGAACGTTACACCATCATAACATCCCATCCTTCTAACTGTGCTGGTAACACATATTCTGTGCCAAATGAAAATGTGCCAAAATCAGTGGCGATACCCAGCCTTCAAGAATTTTACAATATACACTCACCAGCCACTTTATTAGGTACACCTTGCCAGTACTGGGTTTGACCCCTTTTTGCCTTCAGAACTGCCTTATTTCTTCGTAGCATAGATTCAACAAGGTGTTGGAGAAACATTCCTCAGAGATTTTGGTCCATATTGACATGATAGCATCAATGAATCTCCCGGTCCACGACATCCCAAAGGTGCTCTATTGGATTGAGATCTGGTGACTGTGGAGGCCATTGGAGTACAGTGAACTCATTGTCATGTTCAAGAAACCAGTTTGAGATGATGTGAGCTTGTTGACATGGTGCATTATCCTGCTGGAATTAGTCCTCAGAAGATGGGTACACTGGTCATAAAGGGATGGACATGGGCAGCAACAATACTCAGGTAGGCCATGGCATTTAAACAATGCTCAATTGGTACTAAGGGGCCCAAAGTGTGCCAAGAAAATATCCCCCACACCATTACACCACCACCACCAGCCTGAACTTTTGATACAAGGCAGGATGGATCAATGCTTTCATGATGTTTACGCCAAATTCTGACCCTACCATCTGAATGTTGCGGCTGAAATCGAGACTCATCAGACCAGGCAACATTTGTCCAATCTTCTATTGTCCAATTTTGGTGAGCCTGTGCGAATAGTAGCCTCAGTTTCCTGTTCTTAGCAGACAGGAGTGGCCCCCGGTGTGGTCTTCTGCTGCTGTAGCCCATCTGCTTCAAGGTTTGACATGTTGTGCGTTCAGAGATGGTATTCTGCATACCCTGGTTGGAACGAGTGGTTATTTGAGTTACTGTTGTCTTTCTATCATCTTGAACCACTCTGCCCATTCTCCTCTGACATCAACAAGGCATTTTCATCCAAACAAATGCCACTCACTGGATTTTTTTCTCTTTTTCAGACCATTCTCTGTAAACCCTAGAGATGGTTGTGCATGAAAATCCCAGTAGATCAGCATTTTTTGAAATACTCAGACAGGCCCATCTGGCACCAACAACCATGCCACATTCAAAGTCACTTAAATCCCCTTTCTTACCCATTCTGATGCTCAGTTTGAACTTCAGCAAGTCGTCTTCGCCACGCTTAGATGCCTAAATGCATTGAGTTGCTGTCATGTGATTGGCTGATTAGTAGGTATGTAACGATTCATCTACTACATCGATGTATCGATTTGTATTCCTACAATCCAACTACATCGATCTGTGCTCGGCAAGTTGGCCTTCCGGACGACATATATCGATCTAACATCGTTTTAAAAGGTAATCAATCGATTGTATCGATACTAGGAAATAACGCATTGGATTTAAGCACGTCAGACTTTATATGGATGTGTTTTTTTTAGCACTTTTAATGATAAAGGCGTTAAACGTTTCTCGATTCAGTCTGCCTGTCTGTGACGTCATCGCCATGTTAATTCAATCTAATTTTTGTTTACTTGTTTGTTTATATCCATAATTTATACATCATTCCCTTACACAACACATATCTAGGAAACTTCACCTGCGCTGTCCAGTATCCAGGTATTTATTTCAGTAACACTGGTTGAATTTTTGGCTAAAAGTTCCTGAATTGATTTCAAGTCACTGAA